ATCCCGTTTTATGAACTGTTTTTCGATTTGTGTACTGGACAGGTAAAGAGTCAATGGATTTTAGAATTTTGGTATATGGAAAGTAGGTGTGGTTTTAGCTTCGTACTGTAACATAAAGATGACGGGTTCGGACGGGTTTGGAGATATATGTTTCTACCAAGATGCAAGTATTCTCCTCCTCTCTGCATTCAACATTCGGCTATTGTTGTAAATGTTTTGTTCGTGAACTTCCCATCCGCTCTTCTTCTTGGCTTTTGCCGTCATACCTCCAACCTCAGCGCTTTTAATTACCATGGCTCCAACGAATTTTTGAATGACAATTATTTGTTTGTAGGTTCTGGAATTTGATTTTCGGTTAGGGAAAATTCATGGAAAAGTCAGGAAATTTCAAAATTAGTGTTCAGTCGAYACCCTGTGTAAATCAACGGGGTTTAGGTGTGGTGGTGGACAATGACAGTGCTGCTTAAGGGCAGATTGTCGCCGGTTTGTTCACCCGGACAATCAGTGGTCACGCAAGTCAAATACCTGGGTGAGTGAAAGTGTTTTCGGGCTGTTCCCATCATGTATTGTGGCTGGTTTATGGCCTGTGCTAGTTACGAAGAGTGTGGTGAGAAGCAGTCCCGATAGACTGGACCCCAAGCTCCTCTCAATTAGCGTCGTAGCATGCTTGCCTGTACCTGTTTGTCGCACCGTCTAAACGGATGCTATGCAGTTTTTGTTAGATGCACACCCTCTTGACCTAATTTTTTATTCAACGTCCTATTCCATTTAGGTTAAGGAGAGGCTTGAGTGTGTCAATGCTGCGGAATGACTGGATTTCCGATCATGATGTGGAGGAGGAGGGTTATCTAGAGAGGATGTTTTTAGGTCATTAGGTGTAGGTGGCAAGAACGTTGGGACAATACTTCTAATGGAAAAGTAACTTATGATTACATTCTGGACGTTGGGTTTGTTGAAGCTAACATAAATTTCAGATTTTGTCTGAGTCTGCTTTTTTTTGCTTACGGCATAGGCTTCTAAATACATTTATGTATCGGAAGGACCTATAAGTCAGGTCGTTGTTGTGGAGCGGGAGCAGAGGACTGGAATACAAAATTCGCGATGTACTTGGACATCAGGGTGGTATGGGGATTAGGTGGACTGATCGACGAATAAATGTTAGCGGAGTGAATTGCATAAGTCGGCACGCCGAACAGTTAGGATGGTTTGCGCTAGAGTTGCTTAAGCGGAGAAGACGCTTAGCTGGGAACTACGGCTAGTTTTTGTATGAGTGGGGTCTTTGGGGTTCAACCCCTGGCCACCAGTCCAGAGCTGTATGGAATCTCAACTGGGGGTAGTTTTGGCTACGAGGTCTGACTGGATACTTAATACTGGTAAAACGGGGTCCAACAACGCTTGAAGTTCGCTCTAACCTGCTGATACGACGGGCGCCTCGGGGAGTAACGTGATGGTTGTGGTTAAAACCCAAATGCGGAAAAAACTGACACTTTTTCAGTGGAGTGTCATTGCACTCGGGTGCCTTACCCAAAGTACGGCAGAGGCTTTAGAAGAGCCTCGAACTCTTCCAAGGTAGTTAGTGTGTCCATTCCACACTACCAATTGGTACTGAAAATGCCTGGCATTGCCTTGTGGTTTTGAGCGCGGTGGGGTAAGGCTGTCGACAACATATAAATAACTGCAAACATATATATAGATTAGTCGTTGCTATACTGTATTAAAATAGGAATAGCTATGAAACATCTATATTGGTTTTATACTCTTGCAACCTGTGGCTACAGTGTATAATAGTTTTGTTCACCTAACTGTTGTTTTTATCACCTGAAACTAAGTGTGAGAGATATAGGGTTAAACGTATATGAATGATAAGGGAGATGAAAAAAGTTGTCCGGTTGACTGTTTGTCTGTAAGTCAGTGCAATCTGTAACTTGAGTAAAAATTTAAATATCTTGATGAAACTTGGTATATGGCCATTAACCCAAAACTTTAAAGCACCACAACTAGTCACTAAATTAAAATATAGAACTGCAATTTGACACATTGGATGGCAATAGCATCAGTGGGCAAAAACTCTTGAAAAAGTGTGCGCCTTCTAGCAAGTTTAATGTACATATCTCCTATACCATTAAATCTACAACAACCACATTAGTTTAGCGCAAATATTATAAGAGCAATTACCGACAGAACGAAAATGTACGAAAGCAGAGGATAACCCCACTCAATCCCCAAATAACGGTACTGTTACAATAGTGTCTCGGTGTATCAAAAATGTTTTGAATAGGGCAGTATTTCGCTGAGCCCTCATAGTTACACATAATATATGACATAATATATCGACCAATATTTGAGTTATCTCAATGAAAATTATAAAGCGTGTTTTACTCATAACAGTGCATTCTTTTGGCTAAAATAAATTAAATTTTAGCCCAATTGACTTGACCTAGCCACCAGTAAAAAAATATATAATATCCAACTGAACAAATTTTTTTGGTATGCGACATATTAAAAGGTTGACAAAAATAGATAAAATCGGGTCGATGCTTCCCCAACTCCTATATACATATTGTATAATGAGTTAAAAATTTCTAAAAAAAATATATATATGAAGCGATTACTTAATTGCAAAACTTAAATAAATCTTCTTGTGTCGAGTGGTTAATTTCAAACTTTTATTTAATTCGTCGCTCAACTTTGTTGTATAGGAATTGGTTAAATTGCGAGTCGTTGAAACACGTGTGTGCTTAGCAAGCGCAAAAGATAGAAGAAGGATATCTTCTGTATGCATTACAGAAAAAGCGGGCGCTGACACGAAGGACGGTGGAAACGTCAGTAATGAAGGAAATTCGTCAGGGCTGCATTTTGGTAATGTGGTTGCCACCACATATCTCCCCTTCTTTGTGAAATAAATTAGGTTGCGAAATTAACGTGTTTTTTTTTTGTTTTTCCCTCGTTCCAGCGTTTTGGCCTGCTGCGTCCGAGTGGTCGAGTGTTCCTTGATCATTCGCTACGATGTACGCCGGTTTCAAACGATCGATAGAAACTGGGATGTCTTTTCCATTTATATGAACGGTGAAATACTTGGCGTATCGGGCCGCGACTCGGTATGGGCCGTCGTATGGATGGCTAAATGAAGGACCAATTTGTCCGYGGCGGACAAAAACGTGGCTAGTGTGATCCAAGTCCCTGAATTTAAAAACGCGATACTTAGCGTGGCGTGACATTTCTGCAGGTGTAAGTCCACGGAASTGATTTTGCAGAACTTTTATGAGTTCAGGTGCGCTGAGGTCTCGTGAGGATGGTGCGAGAAATTCTCCAGGTAAGCGAATGGTTTCGCCGTAAACTAATTCCGCCGGGGTAGCCCCGATGTCCTCCTTCCAGGCCGATCGAAGCCCCAGCAGGACGGCTGGTAGAGCGTCGTACCACGACTCGTTGTGACAGAGTAATGCTGCTTTAAGCTGACGATGAAATCTCTCATCGAGGCCGTTTGCTTGTGGGTGGTAAGCCGTGGTTACGATATGTCTTGCACCTAGGAGGTTATTGAGTTTATTAAAAATATCTGATTGGAACTGCATACCTTGATCTGAAGTGATTCTGGCTGGCACGCCATAGCGGGCGATCCAGTTCAGCATGAATGCACGTGCCACAGTGTCGGCTCGTGCGTCTTCAAGCGGTATCGCTTCTGGAAATCGGGTAAAACGATCGACGGCAGTAAGGCAGTATCGATGCTCCTTTGATGGAAGCAAAGTTATTAAGTCGACGTGAACATGCTATAAACGTTGGGTTGGTTGTTCAAAGTTTGATATGGGTGAGACGTTATGTCTCGTTATTTTATTTTGCTGGCACGCAATGCGAGTTTTTGCCCAGTTTCGGCAGTCGTTGTTGATAGATGGCCATACGTAGCGCTCTGCGATAAGTTTTCTGGAGCCTCTTTGTCCTGGGTGTGCCAGAGAATACAACGACTCAAAAACTTGTTTTCTTAATGGTGCTGGCACGAAAGGGCGTAATCTCCCGGTAGAAACGTCGCAATATAGCTCTATATCTGGTTCTTTATATAAAATTCGTTGGAGTTTCAATGATGAGTTGGTATTTTCCATTATGTCTTGAAGCTGATTGTCGTTTTTTTGTTGTGTAGCGAGCTCAGTAAGTGTCACCGCGGTTGAAATTGCGTCTACCCGAGACAGAGTGTCGGCCACGATGTTTTCGTTGCCTGCAATGTGTTTGATTTCAGTGGATAATTGCGCGATGAGGTCAAGTCTGCGGAACTACCAAGGGGATGCCTTATCTAAACGCTGTTTAAAAGCGTGAACCAGTGGTTTATGGTCCGTAAAAATTGCTACGTGCCGCCCCTCGAAGATGTRTCTGAAATGTTTTACAGACTCGTATATGGCTTGTAATTCGCGATCGTATGTCGACCGCTCGGACGATTTTTCGTCCAGATTCTTGCTAAAAAACGCCAGTGGTTGCCATGAGTTATCAATTTTCTGTTGCAAAACTGCGCCGACAGAGTATTGTGACGCATCTGTGAAAATAGCCCAATCTGCGTCGCTGCTAGGGTGAGCGGGCTGTGTGGCCTTGGCCAGAGCGTTTTTGTAGCATCCGAAGGCGGTCTCCAGTTCTTGGGTCCAAGTGACAGGTTGAGAGCTTTTGGTGGTGGATCCTTCCAAAAGTTTGTTAAAAGGCGCTAGTAACTGTGCAGCATGTTTAATAAATTTTCTGTAGAAGTTGATTGTACCTAAAAAGGAGCGTAAGCTCTTAATTGTTGAAGGTCTGGGGAAGTCCAAAATTGCCGATACTCGTTCAGGCAGTGGTTTGATGCCTGTTTCTGAAATTGTGTGGCCCAAGAATGCGACCTCTCTTTGTGCGAGTTTGGTCTTTGCGGCGTTTATCGTAAGCCCAACGTCTTGTAGGCGTTGAAATAAGGTTCGCAAGTGTTCCATGTGTTGATTTTCGTTGTCTGAAGCGACGAGGATGTCGTCAATATAGGTGTAGACAAGTGGCATATCTCAAAGCCCTCCGGATGAAGTTGCTGGTAGCACGCGAGATCTGCTACGTGATCTAGGCCGTTGCTGAACGGTCCGTTCACGTGAGCGTGCTACGATGGCTGACAGTTCTGCTAGGTGTTCTGCTAAGGCTGCTGCTTGCGTCTCCAGGTCTGAAACAGCTGCTATGCCGGCCGGTTTAATCACCTCGTGAAGCTTGTCGGCTGCAGYCCCGAGTTTATTGAGATCAGCCTGTTCCTGTATGACGAGGCATGCGCGCATTTGGGGGGGAAGGTGTGGTAGCCATCGCGCCTTGAGAACTTCCTCATCAATGTCCGGGACGAGACTACGGAGATGACGCAGGTGTTGAGATGGAGTTTTGTCACCTAGGGTCTCTCCGTCCAATAATCGTATAAGATTAGCTTCTTTAGATTTTGAGAAGCGTGCAATAAGTGCCTCTTTAAGTTTTCTRTATGGATTGGTAATAGGTGGTGCCAAAATTATATCTTCGACTGTGGAGGCTGATCTAGKGTCAATTAAAGGCACGGCCACGTGGAATTTGTCGACTTCTGTTAGAATGCTCCGCATTCTGAMTTGCGACTCCAGTTGCGCAAACCACAACGCAGGTTTTTCGCTGTAAAATGGTGGAGCTTTGATGGAGATTTCCCTAGAAATATGAATGTTTGATTGCGACGGAGCGCTGATTGAGTCGTCCAGAGACATTTTGCGTTGAAATGTGGTGTTGAAAGTGCGATTACAGCGTTAATTTAGGTTATGGCTGCTTGAAATGTTCCTAACGTGCGGGGTCACCAATTGAAGCGATTACTTAATTGCGAAACTTAAATAAATCTTCTTGTTTCGAGTGGTTAATTTAAAACTTTTATTTAATTCGTCTCTCAACTTTGTTGTATAGGAATTGGTTAAATTGCACGAGTCGTTGAAACACGTGTGTGCTTAGCAAGCGCAAAAGATAGAAGAAGGATATCTTCTGTATGCATTACAGACAAAGCGGGCGCTGACGCGAAGGACAGTGGAAACGTCAGTAATGAAGGAAATTCGTCAGGGCTGCATTTTGGTAATGTGGGTGCCACCACATATACATAAAATTGCTGAGGTTCAGGTCGTCATGTTAACGGTTTACATCTTAAGGTATTTCCCTTGCCTTGATTCTTGCAAGTTGCAAGAGTATAAAATGCTCGGTTGCAACCGAACTTAGCCTTTTTTACTTGTTTGGTTTATTTTCAACGTTACATCCGTGCATTAGTATATCCTATTACAATATTCAACTTTAATAAATAATTTTTTTTTTATTTCATTACAGATATTCCGGAAGTTCAAATACGACTTGGAACATCTTTAAAGCAAAATACAATAAGAGAAGGGGCAGATGTCTATTTTGATTGTGTAATAAATGCACACCCATTCGTTTACAGAGTTGATTGGCGTCATAACGTATGTACATAAGAATTCATTAATGCCTTGTAACTGGCATTCTAAGTTGTATTCAAGTTAGGTTTACTTAAGTTAGATGGCTGATACAGAGATCGGACTTGGACTGCTATACGCACTTCTTTTTGAAACTACAGAAAAATAGAACTGTGTTCGATATTATAAGTGGGCTAAACCCCTTGTGGCCAATAAAAAATTTGCACAGGCGTTTAATTTTTATTACAGTTCAGTGAGATGTCTGAAGGKTTTTTTTTTTTTAACATGCACATCCTTTCGCCATTATTATAGATAAAGCATTATACATAGATTTTATTTGCTTTAAATGCCGTATTTTTTAATGTTCCTTGAATTTGAGCTTCTAGTCTACTATCACACCAAGGTACTTCAACTGTGGCTGTGACGTAATCTGACATTCTCCTGTGGTGAGCAATATCTTTTCTTCAATTTTCCTAGAGCTTATGGGCAAGACTTCTGTTTTCTGCTCAGTAAGATCTAGACTCTTGATAGCAAACCATCAACGTAAACCATTTATGCTGTCATTGCATTTCGTCTGGAGGTCATCCAGATGTTTAGCTACTGCTACCACTATGAGGTTATCCGCATATGCGATGTTTTTTATATTTTTTGGTTCCTGTGTTCTTAACACCCCGTTGTACATCAGGTTCCACAGCAGCAAACCTAAAATCGAGCTTTTCGGTGCTCCATTGGATGTASGTTTGCTCTGAGTGCTCTCGTCCATATAGAAAAGCAATCTCCTATTTGAAAAGTAACTCACTATAATGTTTATCAGGTGATGATCAGCGTGTTTATCGTGCAGAGCATTTAGCATTCTTCACATTAAGGGTTATTAGCGTGCATAATTTGTTTGTACCATCTTTCCATCTTTTYCCACTAATTGCACATTTCGCAGTATCAACTACTTCTCTTAGCGCGTCAATAGTGGACCTCTTTTTTATAAGGCCGTATTGTCTCTTTGATAATCCGCCGACTTTTTGAAATGCTAACTCCAAGCTGTTTCTTATAATGCTTTCGTACACTTTCCCAATCGTGTCAAGCATGCAAAAACCACTATGTTCTTCTGGCTGCTTTTTTTTGGCTTGGGATTAGAACTAGATGCCGTATCTTTCACGGATCTGGGAACACATCTTCTAAAGTACACGTATTGTACATGTTAGCAAGTAAACTGGTTCTAAGAGTTATGGCTTCTTTAAGGGTTCTATTTGGTATACCATTTATTCCAGGCGCTTTGGAGTTTTTGTTTTTTTCGTAATAGCCAATAGTTCGCCTTCTGTGACAAACACGGGTGGCTCCGGTGCTTCGTTTCGTTTAATATAGGAAATTTAGGCATGTGTCGGGAATAACGCTTCGACAACATTTTTCAGATGCATTCTTAGGTTGCTGCGGCTTATTTTTGAACTGCGACATAAAAATTTTGTATGCCGTTCCCCAGGGGTCTATGTTCCCTTCTTCACAGAGCTTTTCGAACCATGATAGCGCTGATATGGATAATAGCTGACTTCAGGACCCTTTTTTGGAAGCTAAATGCTTCTCTGAGGCAGATCTCGTTTTCCGTTACGCTGAGATTGGCAATTTCGTCACTCCAGCAATATACCAGCTTCGATTGTTATTGTATCTCGTCCTGCGCATAGTTGCGGCGCATGCTGCTGGAGGGGAATTTCTCCGACACAGTTTCCATTCTTGGGAGAACGAAACTTCAGTAATTACAGTAATATAGTCACTATTTGTTTAAATACACTAGTTTACAGCAAAAATGTTCCTTGAACGCCACTATCCAATTTGTATGTGGAATCGCTCGCTGATTTCGAAAATCGAATAATTTTTTTTTTATGGATGCGTTTCTGAGGTATTTGCAATTTACCATTATTCGACCAAAAACAAAAGGTGTCTTCATTTAATCATGTATATCTCACTGACCAGTTGAGCAATCTTACTGCAAATTATAAAAAATAAAAGTGAAAAAATTAAAAAAAAAAATTAACTTTGGCAAGGAAAAAATTTTAAAACAAAAAATATTTTTTAAATTTTTTTTTTTACTTTATATGAAGTCCTGTTCCTTTATAAAAAACTAAGCTACCAACGAACAAAATCCATGGATAAATAGGAAAGTTGTACATGATCAAATAAATATATCCAAGTCGCGTCGTATATGCGTATGTAGTGTGTATAGTAGGGATGGGATATCTAGCTATGCGCTGTTTCTGTTAAGTAAAAAGTCAATTTTCATGTCGTTTTTAGTTTTTATAAACTCATTTATTTATATATTAATGATATATATTAAAACATTGTGTTATTTTTGTCTTAAGTTGATGTTCGTACATTATAGTCGAACTGATTATGTGTTTTGTTTTGTCGTTTATTTAGCTTAGGATCGGTTTCTGTTATGAGAAACCAACATTAGTCACCCATCGTACCGACGTCCCAGAAACCTTGGCATCGATTCTCAATTAATTTAATTTTCTGGTGAAACTTTTCGCCATGCTCGTCACTTTCGTCTCCGAGATTTGCCGGAAAACAACTTAAATGGGAATGCAGATGCAGAAATGAATTTTTAAAGACATATTTACGCCTGGAGAAAAAGAAAATGTAAATAAGTAAATTATAAAATTTTATATAATTCAATTAAATAAGTTTTGAATAATCACCCATTTCTGCATAATTTTTGAATAAGTCGCTCACTATCTTCTCGTAGTTTGGACTTTTGTGTTTACCGAAAAAAGAAGAAATGACCATTTCGAAGGAATCCCACGCTGCTCCCTCAACTGGTGACAATAGTCCTTTCAATTGGTCATTATTTATCAACTTTTTTATTTGGGGTCCATCAAATATACCTTGTTTTATCTTGGCCTGGGAAATATTTGTGGAAAAATTTTGCAAATAATTGAATGCTTTACCTTCTTTGTCCAACGCCTTAACAAAATTTTTAATGAGGCCGAGCTTGACAATGGCGTAAGAATGATTTTTTCCTTCTCTATAAGTGGGACGTATTTGATATTATCCACACCAATTGTAAATTCAACTCTTTCCGGCCAATCCTTAATGCAATAGTGGTCTTTACGAGCTCGGCTATCCCATTTGCAGAGAAAGCAACAGTTTCTCTCGTTTTTCATTAAAAATTCATTACAACTTGATTTCCCATATTCAGATGATCTTTCAGATACTGCTGTCGACAACGAAACTGGATACGCAACTTCAGCTGAATGTGGAACTGGCAATGAAACGGTAGGTACGTTAGCATAAATCACTTTTCTTGATTTTCCAAAGCCCAGAACTTTTGTCATACAAATATAACCATCTTCTGACTGGCATCTAGGTTCTCGCCATATCATTGGTACATTAAATTTCATGTATCGCCTGAAAAAGAACAAAGTTGAAAATTACTATTAAATAAAAATAAGCATAGTTTTATAATTTTAATACGTACTTTGATCCTGATTCCCATTGAACCAATATTATTCGACATAAGGAACACAATATATTCGGAGTCCATGGTTTATCAATATTTTTAGGCTCAATACCAAAATATTTTGAATATATAGATTGGATGAAATCTCTAAACTGCCTCCAATGCCGTGCAAGAGTATATTCACCGCATATGTAACAGAACATATCCAGATCGTTGGTACACTCAAATTCTCGCGTACGTTTATTCATTTTATTTTTAAAAATAGCTCACGGTTTCCTATATTGTAATTATAAACTGGAACCGGAGAGCCTTACAGATATTATGAACTTTCAAGGGACATTTATCCTTATATATAGCTTCATCGCGAAAAAATAAAAAAAGGCAAAACCTACCTAAACAAAAAAGTTCCTTCATATTAACGAGCCGGGAAAAGAAAATACTACCTGCTCTTGATGTTGGCTTTAAAAAATTAATGAATGTACCAAGATATGTGTGTGTGCAGGTAGGTATGCATCTTTGAATTATATTTATTTGCATTAGGAATTTTCCGCAACTAATTACCCTTCGAAAATCTGCCTGTACACCTACATACATGTTAAGCAAATTAACATGACTACAGGGGTTTCGAACCTGACACCTCTTGCTTTCGATGCAAACTACCTACTAAAACAGTATTTGAGTATTACTGTTTTAAAAGTATTGTTTGATGTTTTTAAACGAATAGCGTTACTAGTTTATTCTAATGATATTCAAAAACAATCCCACCCCTACTTTGCACACTACATACGCATATACGTATACATTGACTTTGCGCGACTGGGATATATTTATTTGATCATGTACAACTTTT